TCTGTCTCCGTCTGTCTCTCTGCGTCTCTGTCTGCCTGCCTCTATCTCTGTTTTCCTGTGTTTGTGTCTCTATATCTGCCTCTATCTCTCTGCTGTGTGTCTCCACCTCTCTCTCTTTGTCTCTATCTCTGTATCTTTATGGCTGTCTTTCTGTGACTGAGTCTCTTGACTCTCTCTCTCTCTTTCTCTCTTTTTTCTGACGTTTTTGTTTCTCTCTCTGCGGCTCTGACTGTCTCTATCTGTCTCTTTATGCTGTTGGTTTCTGTCCTTGGTTGGTTCAAGTTGATTCATCCAATCATTGGTTGACAACTAGTAAACTTGTCTAATAATCCGTCCCGACCCGCCCAGGGCGCTGGAAGTCTATTAAGAGACAGCAGCCTCCGCTGGGCGACAACAGGCGTCAATAATGTACATCATATTTACATATAATATGTATAGGAACATATTATTTTATATGCAGCAATTGCGTTCTTACACTCTTCCAGTTAGCTCATTAATGATAATGCGTGTTCTGGGCGCACTGTTCTGCAATTAAATGCAGTAATAATGAAGGAAAGAACCCTTTGTTATGTTATTTTTACTTGTCTAATAGACCTAGAAGAGAAAGACGGAAATTTGTTATTACCTCCGAACATAAATGTTATTACCTCCTAGATATCCTTATTTACTACTTAGATTACTTACATTTCTAGTTATTTCTATTAACAGTATAGAAATACTCGTTCTTCCTCATAATTCCACTACTCGCTTTCAATCGACAACTTCCATTAGATTTAAATAATGTCTTTACTTAAAAATTGTTCAAAACTTCTACTTCGCATGTTTTACAATAGTTACAAGCACAAAGAAATTTAAAAATATATTTAAAGAAACATATACTTTTGGGTTAGATTTTGCAGAACGATGCTGCACTACGAATTGTAAGGCGGCGAAGTATTCCTTGATCGCCGCACCGATGGCTAGAGCCGCTTACCGACACGTCGTCTTAGGGCATTTAACACGGAGCTGCGCTACTGTATAAATACGTATATTGTGTTATAACCAACGCTAGTTTTTTTATATGGAGGAAGACAAGACTTTTAAATTAATCTCCTCTTCATGTTGCCGACAATCATCAGTCGCGGAAATTGCACTAAATGTAAATGCTGCAATTAATTAATAAAATCGGGAGACTGGCAACGCTTGTGTTAAGTTATATCGTATTTTTATTACTAAAAACATCGTAAATTATATCTATGATTTCCAGCTTCCTAAAAGGTTAAATCAAAAAATCTCATTAAAAATACCCTGTAACTGCTAATCCTGAAGTTAAGGTAACTTTGGGAATATCGCTCTCCCATACCACAAACTAAACAATGGAACTAGAACCTAACTTCTCTGTATTTTTATAGATTAACGCGATCGCCCTATCAGTATTCTTTTGTCTTCCTCAAATAATGGCACCCACAAAACGCATTGTTGATAGTTCTTTCTGGAATATTGCCTGGGATAATCCTTATAAGCGATTGGTCGCTAATGACCTAGTATTTGATGCGACCTTAAATAACAAACAAACAAAAATCCTTATAAGCGACCCCATCGCCCTGCACGACCTTACCGGTGGGTGGTGAATGCAGCAATTAGCCTGGTTTCTCCTACCTACAAAGGAGTGGCTAACCGCTGTCCGTAACTGTAAGATATCCTTCTTACCTAAAATCCTTTCCCGAACCCGGCAGCCAATAGGTGGATTGAGTAGCTCGGAGGCTTCCGTTTTCTAACCTTAGGTGTATCCTTACCATTCCCCTTTTCCTGTTCAGAAGCAGAAGTGCTTCAAATAGGGGCAGATTGAGCTCCGGAGTCTTGGAAGACACTCAATCTAAGGGAAGAAAACCCTAAAAGTAAATAACCCGGTCCTCCTGGAAGGGGGTTGAGGCATGGGGAAAGCTCAAACTCTCAATGGAAATGAGCCTCGGATTAACACACGACGTCGACAAAGGCAAAGAAAATGGTCTATGAATTTTGGATGCTGGAATGTTCAAAGTCTAAGCACTAAAGTAAATGAAGTTTTTACGCAATAGAGGAGTTTAACATGGCTATAATACTGTTGAGTGAAACAAAAAAGAAGGGATATGGAAATGAAAGGAAAGGTTCACTTTTTTAGTGGAATGGGAAAAGAAAAGCGAGCAAGAGCAGGAGTGGCCATTGCTGTACATAAAAGATTGGTGAAAAATATTCTTAGCTGGGTAGCAATTGATGAGAGAATAGCATGTCTCGAACTTGTACTAAGAGGTACGAACTTGTACTACGACTACTAATGTTTTTATTATAGGAATTTATGCTCCAACAGACGATGCAAGTGTTGCAGAAAAAGATATATTTTTAGAGAACTGACTATGCTGCTGGACTCTATTGGTAATCGCAAAGAAGTGGTGCTCCTAGGTGATTTTAATGGAAGAGTTGGAAAACGAATGGCACATAATGTTGTGGGGCGATATGGTGAAAATGTATTAAATGACAACGGAAAAAGACCTATAGAGACATGTGAACTGTATGACCTTAAAATATTGAATGGCTATTTTCCACATAAAGAAATACATAAATTCACGTGGACCCAACCCACTAGAAAATTGCAAACAATAATTGACAACATTATTCCTAAACAACAGTCATCAATAAAATGAAGCGATGTTCGGGTTCAAAGAGGTGCTTCCTGTGGATCAGATCACTACCTACTAAAAGGAAAAGCTTACCTTACGTATAAACTGTGCTTCAAAAGTTACGGAAACACAAAACCAAGTTCAAAAGGTGGAAAAATAGAGAGTCAGATGTGGCCGAAATAAAATATTGAGGGCCTTCAAGATGATACCATTGCATTTTTGTATAAATTGCGCATGGCAGAAAAATTAAAGTACAACCCAATAGGAAATACTGAAGAAAAATACCAATTTATAGAAAAATGCACTCATGAAGCCGCTAAAGAAGCTTTGGGAGAGAAGTGAAAATGTGAATATAAACAAAAAGACTTGTGGTGGACAGAAGATATAAAGAATCTGGACGAAGAAAAGAAAAAGTTATATTTGAAATGGCTTTCCACAAAGGATTTAGAAGACAGAAGTGAATACAACAGAATGAAATATTTGGTCAAGAAAGAAGTGAAGGCAAAAAATGTATTCTGGGAACAAAAATGTGACAGATTAGACAAGTGCATCGGTAACACCAAATCCAGAGAGGCATGGAAAATGTTACATTCCATGAAATTGAATACAACCAAAGAATGGCATTTAGTAGACCCAATTGGTATTGAAAAATGGCAAATATACTATGAAAATCTTTTGACAGAAATAGAGAATTTCAGGGAATAAATTATGAACCACTGCAAGTAAATTCGATCACACCAGATGTGACTTTGGAAGAGTTAAAAAATGTGTTATGAAACATGAAAAATAATAAAGCACCTGGGCCTGGAGATATATCCATAGAGCTGGTTAAACATTATCCTATCGTAGGTTTGGAATTAATTACTGAAATATTCAATGGAATTTTAAAGGAGATAATATACCTGAAATATGGAAATTAGCCTCTATAAATTCAATTTACAAAAAAGGTTGTAAAAAAGATTGTAATAATTACAGAGGGATTGTAATAATTATAGTGGGACTTCATCTTTGGTTAGACTGTATGGACGAGTGCTAAAGAATAGAATTGAAATGCAAACATCAGACTCAGAGAAGCAAAGTGGTTTTAGGCCAGGAAGATCGTGTATTGACAATATTTTCTGTCTCAAACAACTGATGGAAAAAATTGTTGAGCGAGGAAGAGAACTTCACATAATTTTCATTGACCTCAAAAAGGCTTATGATAATGTACCAGTAAAAGAAGTATGGGGGGCAATGGAAGAAAAAGGAATATCAACAACATACATAAATGCAGTCAAACAACTTTATAAAGATATCAAAAGTCAACTAAAAATGGGAAAATGTCTATCGGACAACTTCCCAGTAAATAAAGGATTACGGCATAGCTGCTGTGTATCTCCAACCCTGTTTAAGATATACATTGATAAAGCCTTAAAAGAATGGAAAAGAAAGTGCAGAAGCATGGGTGTGAAGATAGATGATAAAACATTGTTTAGTCTACTATTTGCAGAGGACCAGGTGATAATGGCCGAAGATGAAGATGATGTAACTTATATGTTCAGAAAATTAGTTGAAGAGTATGGAAAATGGGGGATTGAAATAAATTTACAAAAAACTGAATATATGGCGGTGGAAGGTATGCCCCATGATTGAGAGACTAGTATAGGAATAATTAAAGGTAAAACACAATACAAGTATTTGGGAGTCACACAAACAGCAGATGGATGTGAAAAATGGAACAGGATGTGAAAAATAAAAATATAAGAGGAACAATAGACATAAGACAGTTGAATCGAGTGCTATGGAACTCAACTATTTCAATGAAGACAAAGAAACGCATATATAGCTCCTTCATAGAAAGTACCACACTCTATGGGTCAGAAGTCTGGACACTATCAAAAAAATTGAAAGACAAATTTCAATCAACAGAAATGATATTCTGGCGAAGATGTTGTAAACTTTCTCTGTTAGATAAAATAAGAAATGATGAAATAAGAAATAAAATGAAATTGCAAACAACTTTGAACGAGACGATAGAAATGAAACAACTAAAATGGTATGGATATATGAGAAGGTTCAAATCGGATAGACTTCCTCAAAAAGTTTGAGAGTGGATACCAAATAGAAGAAGATACAGGGGAAGACCGAGAAGAACATGGAACATGGCAATAACTGAAGCCATGGAAAAAAGAGAAATGGAGGAAAACGATGTGTGGGATAAAGAGGCATGGAAATTGAGATGCGTAAAACGGCCAAGGCTGTAAAAACCCGCTAAATAGATAGAGAGATACCGCTAAATAGATCGAGAAACTGCTAAATAGATCCTTATAAATCCAGCATGGCAATATCATTCTGCATGAATCGGCGCCCCACTGCATTACTCACCAGTGAATGGCGGAGGTCCTGTACAGGGCTGCACGCACTGAGCCAGGAGGTTCACCGCCCGGAGTTCGGAGGTCGCTGTTGCGTCAGTTATACGGCGTCGTGCTGACTCAGCCGTCTCACCTGATCACTGGCCCGATATCATTCTCTGATATCTCCTAACTGCGGCCCGCCACGGAGTAATGTAAAACGAGCTGTCATTACAGTAAAATCAACAATTACCTTCAAGACAGATTTTGAGAAGATTTTGTCCTTCAAATGTTTTGAAGCACTAGCCCAATGTCAGTCATCAATGTCAGCAGCACGTCACAGACGAAGGAAAACAAACTGTGTCTGCTATAAAACCAACGAGTGCAGGGCCAGCTTTTGAGAGGCGAAGATATAATACTTCCGCCGCTTGCGATAACGCAACCGCACACGCCAAGAGTGTCGCGAACTTTCCTCGTAAAATGAAATATTTTATACACAGCTACTAGTAAAAGCGATTACTTGTAGATTACGCACCTAGTTCAATTGTGAGATAATGCTCAGATATTATAATAAAATTGTAATTACAACAAAGAAAACAAAATACTTTTGTTTGACCGAATCTTCTGCTACTGATCTCAATGTAATGTACGTAATTATGTGATTTGTATTTCTGGATTGAAATAAATTGGAAGACAGTAACGATATCTACAAAATATAGTATGACACACGCTTTAAAAGTTATTTTATTTTCTTCTTGAAAGTGACAATATAACTTTCTTAGCATTAACAAATATCATTAACCTGTTGACACCCAGCATCTGTATTTCAGAACGCAAGAATCTATTGTATTTTATGAAGAGATTTGAATTAAGAAATGAACCAATTAGATATACCTTGGTTTTTAACGTCTATGCATCTTCTTGTCGAAAATATTCTTTCAATATTTTATTTTTGCGCCTCTGAAATAATAATTTGTGGATTGCACTTAATCAAATTGCAATATGTAATTATATCATGCAAGAAATGATAAATATAACTTCTATAATGTTATATCGCACGAGTATCTCAATACAGTTCCTGGAAATTATATCTGCAATCCTTATCGCTACTCGAGATATGTGTAAACGCGATTTTGGCGAAAAGATTGCCGTCATCATATGAGAACGCCGGGCGCCCGGAGATTCACTAGGGCGAAGGGCGGCGTGTGGGTAGTGATACAGCTGTATGATAAAACGGTATTCGGGTCAAAACGTACTCCCACGAGTCTTGTACGTATTCTAGAAGTGAACTGCAGTTATTTTCTTCTCTTTGCGTGTTGTGATTTTGATTTTTGAAGTTTGAATATAAGGTGAAATGATATTTGGTAAGATAATTTCTAAATTTTAAAGATAGAAGAAACAAAATGTTTTTTTCTTAGATTTGGAAGGTCTCAAAAAGTATCGTGGGCTCACATTGACAGAAATGAATGATTTGGCAAATGATCCTGCATTTCATTCAAATGTGAGTGAAAGTGAAGATATTGAGGTTGTGGTGTGTCCACCCGACTAGGATCGTCTTACCGACGTACAGAGCGTTCAGGACAGTGAAAGATTATAATGACAGCTTGTATAACAGATGAGCGTCGTCTAAGACCGCATCGCTCTCCGCTAAATATTCTTCCGCCAGTCAGCTGAGTTGCATTCACAGCTGGCCACGGTTGACTGAATTTTGTTGTTAAATGTAATTTTGATCGCATGGATGTTAGAAACAGTTTTTATGAGAGATTCATTTAATTCCGTATAATTAATTATGAAAAATTATACTAAGTGATTCAAAACATTTCGAAATACTCTTGAGAACATGTGTGATTGATTGAATTAAGTCATTGATACAAGAATGAAATGAAATATACTGCAAAGCCCCCACTTAGGCCTTGTAAAAAACTACCGGAATTCTTACGGTACATTTCGATCTTGCGTGTTCAGAAGATTCAAATTAATGTGTACTGTATAATGTTTTGCAGTTATGAAATCTGGTGTTCATAATTACGATTTCATTTTCACGTTGCTCATCTTATGACTGACAGTCAGTGTATCAATTATTGATCAGTGACTTACAGATATGGTTTGTTAATTGTGAATTCGTTGTAATTATACTTAAATACTATAATTTGTTCAGTTATTGAATAATAAAACAAGGCTTATTTGACATATACAATTAACATAAAACTACCATGAATTTGCTATTTTCTTTTCATAATTTTGGCTTCTCCTGATTGTACAATCTTGGAAAATTTTCACTCTACATTCAAAGATTTCTGTGGGGAAAAGGGTACAAGTTAGTAGATATTCTGGAGTACTGTTTGGCAGAATTCTCAGTTAATTCAATTGATCAGTAACTTCAGGTAAATTTCTTAAATATGGAAATCAAGTCCTATGAGTACTCGTTGCAATTTTGTAAACATTGTATATTTGTAAGTACTGTATTTTTCTATGGTCACCAATGACCTAGTTATTTCTAAAGTGACCTTAAATTTTTTTTTTAAATTAGTTTCGTAAGACTAGTTTTCAAGGTAGTTTTTTGTTAAATGAAATCTGTTGTAAAAAATTGGTTCTTTAAAAAAGTTCTAGTACTCATTTTTCCTCAAACATAACTAGTTAAACATAATATTCCTTTTTGGAGCTAGCAAATTTGTATATCTCGCGCTTCATTTGCTGTTTTATCAGGACATAAGAGATCGGAATGCGACAATGGCACACCGCACCGCGACACGGCAGTTGGAAATTTTAAGAATTTCTTCGCTTTTATGAAAGATGTTATAGCAATATAAAACGCAGATTTAATAGTCAAATTGTGTTGACTGTAGTTTTAAATGAATTGATTTTCACATCTAATGCTCTACGGTTTGTAATGTGTTTTACAAGTGATGACTGAATGTGTGAATATAGACAGAAATTGCAATATTTTATTACGTAACTATTGTTAAGAGGCAGTTGTACGTGCTGTTGTAGCACCAATAGTTATACCTTGTTCGTTTACTACCTAATGGCTTTATTTTAAGGACACATGTATGAGAACACAATAGAAATACCATTATTTCAAAATTAAGCATTTTCAAACCCCAATTTCTAGAAAACTTTGATATCGGTGTAAATAAAATTGTCGTAGTATAAAGGTGTTCTTCTCATTGTTCTCTGATATTAATATTTTAGTTTAATGTCTTTTTTGTTTGTTTTTTTTTTGTTTGTTCATTATTTTATAAATGTGGTTTATACTGTCTGAAACTATCGCAAGTAGATTAATGAGGTCTGACAGGCTTTTACACTACATAATTGTATAAATATTAGACTACCAAAAAATAATTTACAGTAATAGTGTTTTGTGAAATAAAATTTCCCTATCCGTGCAAGTTATAAATAAATTCAGCATTAAAACACCCATCACAGTAAGCAATACAAACCTATTTAATGAACTAAAATCGAAAATAAGTTAATTTTACACTTAAATGTCGAGAAATCATGTTCACCATTAATTATATTCAATTGTTTAACAATAAAAATGTATTACCTCTTAAGACTTTGGCCCGCAGTCTTATTGAATATGTGAAACGTTAACAGGTAAAGAGGTGGATTGTAGGCTTACCTGCTCCCATATAAAATTCCGGTTGCTCAGGAGACTAAAAAATATACAAAACGTGGGGGTGAGGCCGCCACTGCTGCGCCGTGGCACCGGCCGGCCCGCGCGCGACGGCCAGAGAGTAGGCGTCGGCAGTTGATGAAACATGCCGGCCGTGAATGAGTGCTGCGTCTCAGTATTTGCGAAGTCCACGATTCGCGGATATCATGAATAAGCATGCACGCATATACGGAATATGCTGGCACGAGACATTCTAAACTGTGTCCCGAACAATATGTCTGCGCTTTGACCTCAGAAAACACCTGCAAAATTAAGGCTGGTTTACATGTTGTCAGTAAACGTGCCAGTTGAGGTTGCCAGTAACTGGCAAGTGGAGACTGGCAACCTGTAACCGCCAACCTGTAGACCTTCGTGCCAGACAATCGGGATGGCAGCTGAACAAGAACATTTGGTTTACTGTCATGCTCACGCGCTCCCCACGATTCCAATGCTGTATCCTCCCCCATCACCGAACCATCAGAACACTTGTATATGCTTCAACCAATGAATCCAAGCACGCGATAGGTCAAAGCTAACAGTGCTAATTATTCATGGGTCCATCCTCGATTTTAATTACCTATTTGGCAATTTTCAGGAAACCTTAATGACATTGCAAAAATGGATTCCTGAGTATAACTAACTTGAAAATGTTCTAAAACACAAGCAAACTGACGTAAGAAACACATTGATCAAAATTCACTTCAGTATGCGTCAAGCTGTGTATGATACATAAAGTAATTGCGGCTTCTTCCGTTTTGTCAAGTGAACTCTAGGTTGCAAACTATTTAATAGGATGTACTGTTTACAACAGTGAATATCGCCCTTTAATGCAAGTTCGAGCGCAACAATACGCCCAAGTATACAATGTCTGCGAGTAGCCCCTCACCTGGAACACGTCTTGGGAACAGTAGTATTGACTGAACCAGTACAGAACCAAAAGAAGACATAGAAAACGAGTACCGAAGAATATGCCGGTTTAGGAAGGGTTGGTTCCACTATTTTTGTTGACTGTCCTTCGGATGCAACATATATGTCGCATAGTCGACATTTCACTTATTTAACGAATAATAATAATAATCCGATATAACATATAAGTCTGTATAAAATGCATATAAAAATATACTCACAAAGCCAAAATTTATGAATCAAACACCAAGATTCTCAAAATTTAACAAGCTCAACAAAAAATGGCAAAAAAATAAGTAAGCTTATCTATTTTGATTCGTTCTCCATAACATAAATTAATTTCAATTTAAAATTTTAGAGTAACCTCCAATACTCTACATTTACTTTATCTATAAATACAATGACATTAGAGAGAATAACAGAGCCATTCTTGAAGAAGAGCGTGACAACACAATAGAACCTGAGCTATACGTTATCACGAGACGTTTTCAGAATTTATAACAAATTTAAAAATGGTATCTGAATATTTCTTTACCAGAACTTAAACCGTGATCCAAAATTGCCACTGTTTCTGTCATTGCAAAATAAAATGATCTTTCGTATTTATCCTTCTCCAGCAGATTATGTGAATAATAGTTGGAAATTTGCTCTTGCACTACTGTGCTATGTCGCCTAATACTTATCAGCAGTCACGTCACCAAAAAGCGCTACATAAGATAGAGCACGAAAAATATCATTCTTGATCAGATAGTCTAATCTTGCATGCCTTTAGCACACTGTAAAACACCATTGCCAGTCTCACAGACC